GCCACCCCCTCGGGGGGGGGGGGTTGATTTCTCACTTTCTCTCTCTCTGTCTCTGTCTTTCTGGAGAGTGCACGCACCCTATAGCAAAAACCTCTCCAAAAAAAGAAAAAAAAATGCAGAACTGAGTACTGGGTCTCTGCACTCCCAGGCCAGCACTCAGCACGTTCGATACCCACCCTGTTATCATCCTACTCTGGAAACAGAACGGGGCATACACTGACCACATAGGCTGATGTGCAACACTGTCTTGTTTTCGTTTTCAGTTTATTTATTGCTTTCTGCCCTGAGAGGAGAGAGAGACCAGGAGAGAAGGGGAGAGAAGCACCCCCAAGAAGGTCCTGAAGCCATGACCCAGCTCAGCTAGTCAGGATGAAGCACACGCGTCCACACCTGCGGCCAGCACAGGGAGACCTCGGGGCACAAACTCAGGGCCTTCCTAGAATCTCAGCACTGTGAGGGGCTGGGTTACTGCTGCCCCAGCGCGGCTGGCCAAGAAAAGGGTCTTTAAGGTCTTTTTCTGGCCATACCACTGGTCCTATCAGAGGAGTTTTTGGTAAGACCATTACTTTCTGTTAGAACTAGTCATATAGAAATACACAAATACTTTTAATAAACAGCTTCATTCTACTTATTAGGAGTGCAGTAGCAAAAAGCAAAGGACTTCTAAGCTTTTCACGAAATAATTAGCATCTCCCCTCCTAAAGATACCTCTTCATAGCATGCCATTCATACTTTTTGTTTGTTTTTGCTATAGGGCATATGCACTTGTTGGAGAGAGAGACAGAGAGACAGAACACAGGAAATCCAATGCCCAGGGGATGGCCACACCGCAATCCCATCTCATCCATTCTCCTCTCAGGATTTTGGGCATGCACGCACACGCACCCAGTATGATCATCAAGCCACTGGGTCTGGGACTTGAATCATGGTAGGCCATGTGGGAGTCGAACACCTTAACCACCACGCCTCTTGCTGGCCTGTCATCTATGCTTTTAAGAAATGCTTCCCATGGGACCAGCAGTTGGCGTAATGGCTGTGTTGCTGAACTCCCATGTAGTCGACCACGGTTCGTGTCCCGGACCCAGTGGCTTAAAACTCACGCTGGGCTCATGTGCATGCATGTCCAAGATCCCAAGAGGAGAACGGAGGAGAAGGGATTGCGGCGTGGCCAGCCCCCCTGGGGGGGTGATTTCTCACTTTCTGTCTCTCTGTCTCTGTCTGGCGAGCGCACGCGCCCTATAGCAAAAACCTCTCCAAAAAAAAAAAAAGAAAGAAAGAAAGAAATGCTTCCCATTAGGTAGATAAAACACACTCTCACCAGACTCCTACCTGCACTACCTAATGGATGTTTTCTACATCAGCAGAGCTCTCTGCCTTGGCTGGATTTTATGCGCTAAAAGGTGAAATCAATGATTAATTTCAAAACCACATCAACGAAATCCCTACCCTGTGTAAACCTTTCAGCTCTAACTTTCTGAAAGCCAAGCCAGACCAAAGAAAGGTTCATCAAGCAGAACTCTGGAAGCATCCCAGGTTCTGAAGATCGCGAGCTGCCTCATCTTCAAGGTCACAGTCATTGCCGGCTTCTTAACGAGCTCTTAAGGGACATTTCTGTCATCACTCACTGTAGCCTGACAACCGCCAAGGAAAGGGCTCGTGAGCCTCTCAGCTGGGGTTTCTAGTTAAAGAAAACTTTCCTGTTCCCAGATATTTTTTGTACAATGACAGCAAATAATGACCACGTGGAAAAAACTCACAAATACCAACCATGTTGCTTTAAAGGGCACTGTAATGCCAGAATGAACCTTCTCAGACCTCAAGACGTCATTTTTTTAATTCATCTTGTTTACAAAGGGAAATCAGATAGCAATTCATAGCCATCAAGATGGCTATCATAAAAAAAGAAAAGAAAAGAAAGAAAGAAAGAAAACAAACTTTGGCGAAGATGTGGAGAAGCTGGAACTCTTACACATTCCCAGTGGAAATGTAAAATGCTAAAACCACAATGGAAAAAAAGATTATGGCAGTTCCTCAAAAAACTTAAACACAGAATTACCAGAGTCCAGCCATCTTACTTCTGGGTATATACCCTAAAGAATTGAAAGCAGAACTTGAATGACTAGTATTTGAACCAATATAAGTAGCAGCATTATTCATGATAGCCAGAAGGCAGAGAAGGCTGGCAGGTGGTATGGTGGTTGAGATGTTGGACTCCCCACATGGGCAACCACAGTTCAAGTCCTGGACCTGGTGGCTTGCTTTCTCATTTTCCCACTCTTTCTTTCTCTGTCTCTCTCTGGTCAAATTCAAACAATAATAATAATAAAATAATAACAAAATGAAATACATTTAAATAAATTGATAGCCACAAGGCAGAAACAACCCAAATGCCCACTGACAGATGCATGGATAAACAAAACGCGATAGATTCATACAATGAAGTATTATTCACTCTTAGAAAGTTAGGAAATTCTGATATATGCGGCACCACAAATGAATCCGGAAGCCAGTAGGCTAAGTGAAACGACAGAGAAACAAGATAACTAATTCCAAATGATTCCATTTCTATGAGGTGCTGAGAGCCGTCCAACTCAGAGGCACAGAAAGTAGAATGGCGGCAGCCAGGGGCTCGGAGGTAAGGGAAAGGGAGTGAGTGCGTTTTACAGCTTCAGCTGGGGAAGCTGAGAGTTCTGGGGACGGACGCTAGCCACAGTTCCACGGCAATGTGAAAGAACTCACAGTCAAAATGGTCAATTTTATGTTATGTCTATTTTTACCCCAATTATAAGAAAAGGAAAATCAGACCCAAATACCAATGCAGTTTTTTTTTTTGGGAGACGTTTTTGCTAGAGGGTACATGCACTCACCAGAAAGACAGAGAGAGACAGAAAGATAGAAAGTGGGAAATCACCCTCCAGGGGAGATGGCCATGCCGTCATCCCTTCTCCTCCATTCTCCTCTCCGGATCTTGGGCACGCATGCACATGCGCCCGGCATGAGTTTAAGCCACTGGGTCCAGGACTCAAACCACAGTTGACTACAGGGGAGTCCAGCGACATAGTCATTACGCCAACTGCTGGTCCCACCACCCCCCCATGCAGTTTTTCTTTACATAATCAAGGCTTAGAAGTATTCTACATGCATGGGAATCAACTCTACCTTTGTTTTCTTTTTATAGTAACATGGTGGGTTTAAAATCATGTGACACCTCCAAGACCATAAAAAAATAAATAAATAAAAATAAAATAAATAAACAGTTAGAGATTCTAGAGATCCTCCCAGAAGTAGAAAATGAGAAATCGAGAAAAGAGAGGCAGAAGTCCCCTCACCTTCCAGACCGCCTCAGTGACCCCTTCACCACCCATTTCCCCACGGGCCTTAGGTCTTCCTTTCCCCTGGGGCCCTCCCTGCAGTTCCAAGACACTCTCTTTCCTGCCTGAGGCAGACCCCGCCCGTGGTCAGATGACTCCCTTCTATGCTAACCCTCTGGTCCTTTAGGTTCTGAATCTTCTCCAACCTCCTGAAAAACAGAGTCACCTGGAGGCACCCACATGACCTTCTGGAAGGACAGGTTTGGTGGCTGATAGATAGCAAGGACCCTTAAGGCCCAGGGCTGAACCCTGGGCTCCCCGGACACTAACCCTCAATATACCCACCCGTGAAATGTGCAAAACAGTCCCCTTTACTCCTGCAAATATGGTGAGGGTCAAACGGAAAATAACCCATGGTAAAGACAGCACCTGGTCCAGAGCCAGGCGCATCCTAAGAATTCAACAAATATTAGTTACACATCATAACACGTCATTACAGTTTCTAGAAATCACGGTCAGTACTCAGAATCCCCATTTCTTCCCCTTTCTTCATTCATTATAGAGAGCGTGCACCTGCTCATGTAGGTGCACACAACAGGGGGTAGGGGGACACCCTCAACAGGGCTTCTCAGGCCATGGTCCTCTGCCCTCAGATCCTCCAGCTTGTCAGGATCTTGGGCACACACATGGACACCCAGCGTTTCAGGTCTGCCAGACCAGGGATCCGAACCTGTGGCCAGCCTATGGCTTCCAGCACCGCAGTCAGGTTCACTACCAACTGCACCGCAGAGGCTGGGCCACTGTCCACCACTTTTATCCTTTCCCTTTCACTCCTCAACTGCAACCTGTCTTCTGCTCTCCACTTTCCATTAAGTCTGAAGATATCCACAACCTTTTTTTTTTCTTCTTTTATTCCTATGGGTACTTTCCTTTTTTAAAAAAATTATTATTTAATTTTATTGATCATTTTCTAGTAGCAATCCTTAGCTCTCACCTTGCTAGAACTCTGTTGTGGCCAACACAACTGAGCACTCACGCGATCTCAGTAACCCCTGTGCTACTGGCTGGGGAACTTCTGTTTCCCCAACTCTCCCACCACCTGTGGAATGCCCTGGAGGGGAACTGGTAGAATGGGAACATAGGCTCTTGTCTCCGTATCCCCAGCCCCTACCACAACACTAACACAAGGAAGATACCCACTTCACACCGGAAGCTCACCTTCAAACTCAGTGACGTACACAAGCCTTTCCACACGTGCGTACCATCTGAGATGTCCTGAGGCCTTTACCTCCCACTAAGGTGAAGCTCAGAGAGCCCCTACTCACCCTCTATCCTCTCGCAGAGCTTGTGCAGGCCCTGCAGGGGGCAGCCCTCACAGAGCTGGGCCGGCGCCTTGGCTGTCTGCTGCACCGCGGCCACCGTGAAAGCTTGTTTCAGGGTCATCATGATTTCATCGACCTGGTCAAAGACAAGAGAAATAGTAGCGGGCAAAAAGTCCATGAGATTTCAGAAAACCTATGAAAAAGACTTAGCATTTTAAGAATTTTCTGGACTGTTCTTCACAGGGTGACAGGTAATAATTGTTGTAACTGCTATGATTACTGTCTGAGAAATACTCCCAAGTTCGAGAAACTTCTTTTAATTTAGAGATGGGGCAGAGACAAACAGAGAGACAGAGAGAGAAAATGCACCCCCAAGCGGGTATGGTCAAACACAACCCCTTCTCCATTTCTCCATTCTGTCAGAATTTTGGATATGCACATGTGATCGTGTTTTTAAGCCACCAAGGCCAGGATTGGAATCACAGGGCTGGCCATGTCGGATCTGACTCCCTTAACCACCAGGCCACAGGGCTGGCCCAGAGGCTCAAAGTTCTTAAAGCAGGTAAGGTAAAAACTAAAAATATAAATGACTGAGTAAAAAATACTCCGATTAGGGACCAGCAGTTAGCGTAACGGCTATGTCACTGAACTCCCACGTAGTCGACCGCGGTTCGAGTCCTAGACCCGATGGCTTAAACTCACACCGGGCACGTGTTTGATCATTTTCTAGTAGCAATCCTTAGCTCTCACCTTGCTAGAACTCTGTTGTGGCCAACACAACTGAGCACTCACGCGATCTCAGTAACCCCTGTGCTACTGGCTGGGGAACTTCTGTTTCCCCAACTCTCCCACCACCTGTGGAATGCCCTGGAGGGGAACTGGTAGAATGGGAACATAGGCTCTTGTCTCCGTATCCCCAGCCCCTACCACAACACTAACACAAGGAAGATACCCACTTCACACCGGAAGCTCACCTTCAAACTCAGTGACGTACACAAGCCTTTCCACACGTGCGTACCATCTGAGATGTCCTGAGGCCTTTACCTCCCACTAAGGTGAAGCTCAGAGAGCCCCTACTCACCCTCTATCCTCTCGCAGAGCTTGTGCAGGCCCTGCAGGGGGCAGCCCTCACAGAGCTGGGCCGGCGCCTTGGCTGTCTGCTGCACCGCGGCCACCGTGAAAGCTTGTTTCAGGGTCATCATGATTTCATCGACCTGGTCAAAGACAAGAGAAATAGTAGCGGGCAAAAAGTCCATGAGATTTCAGAAAACCTATGAAAAAGACTTAGCATTTTAAGAATTTTCTGGACTGTTCTTCACAGGGTGACAGGTAATAATTGTTGTAACTGCTATGATTACTGTCTGAGAAATACTCCCAAGTTCGAGAAACTTCTTTTAATTTAGAGATGGGGCAGAGACAAACAGAGAGACAGAGAGAGAAAATGCACCCCCAAGCGGGTATGGTCAAACACAACCCCTTCTCCATTTCTCCATTCTGTCAGAATTTTGGATATGCACATGTGATCGTGTTTTTAAGCCACCAAGGCCAGGATTGGAATCACAGGGCTGGCCATGTCGGATCTGACTCCCTTAACCACCAGGCCACAGGGCTGGCCCAGAGGCTCAAAGTTCTTAAAGCAGGTAAGGTAAAAACTAAAAATATAAATGACTGAGTAAAAAATACTCCGATTAGGGACCAGCAGTTAGCGTAACGGCTATGTCACTGAACTCCCACGTAGTCGACCGCGGTTCGAGTCCTAGACCCGATGGCTTAAACTCACACCGGGCACGTGTGCGTGCGTGCCCAAGATCCCAAGAGGAGAATGGGGGAGAAGGGATTGCAGCGTGGCCATTCTCCTGGTGGGTGATTTCTCGCTTTCTGTCTCTCTGTCTCTCTCTGTCTTTCTGGTGAGCGCATACACCCTATAGCAAAAACCTCTTAAAGAAACAAAAAACAAAAAACCTCCGATTAAGAGGCCAAAATGACACTTGAAAATGCTAGACCAGAGGGTGAAAATGAGCAGATTCTTCAAAAACAACAAAAATAAAAACATGCTGCAAACCGTTTCAGATGCATACTAACTAATTATTAAAAGGCATAAACAAATCATAAAAGCCAAAGAATGGTCGGTCCATTAACGAGGCTCTCCAGGGTTGCTAAGAAGAGCAACCCCAGTGAGGCTTAAATGCCTTGAGTGGATGACGCGAGGTTAGGTCTCTCACCAGAGCTTCGTTGGCACACTGGAACACATAACAGACGAAGTGAAAGCCGCCGCCTCCCGAACACTCCCGGCAGATGAAGCCAAAGTGGTCCACATGGCGGATGCCCTGGGGAAGGCAGGGGAAGGAATGAACTCAGTTATATCAGGAAGTGGCGCCACCCTCAGAAAAGGACCTTAAGATTTCCACAACACTGTCTGAAAGAGCACTATAAATCCACTATCTTAGCAGATTTTCTAAGATTTAAAAAAAATCTGAAGACATCTCCCTGGTATGATAAGAAATTAGCATCATCTACTAAAATACTACTTTCATGACTTCCACAATCATAAGAAAATAAAATCTAGAATTTCAAGTTTGAATACTCGTTCTAGCATTAAAAGAAAGGGGAGAAAGCTGATAGAAAAATTCGAATTTTTGAGGCCAGCAGGTGGCATGGTGGGTAAGGCACTGGACACTCCCACATGGCCAACCATGGTTCGAGTCCCAGACCTGGCGACTTGCTTTCTCACTTTCCCTCTCTTTCTTTGTCTCTCTCTTCTGGTCAAATTAAAATAAATGAGTGAATAAATAAAATTAAATAATTTTTTTTAAAAAAAGAAAAATTAGAACTTTTTAAGGCATGAACATACAAAAAAAACTACTTGAAAAATCAAGTGTAGACCATGCACATGTGCCCCATGTGTTTTATGAAGCCACCAGGTTTGGGTCTGAAACTACACAGTCAGCCATGAGGGATCTAGCCTCTTTTTTTTGGAGAGGTTTTCGCTATAGGGCGCGTGCGCTCGCCAGACAGACAGAGAGAGACATAGACACAGAAAGCGAGAAATCACCCCCCAGGGGGGATGGTCACGCCGCAATCCCTTCTCCTCCATTCTCCTCTCGGGATTTGGGCATGCACGCACACGCGCCCGGCGTGAGTTTTAAGCCACCGGGTCCGGGACGTGAACCGCGGTCGACTACGTGGGAGGTCCAGCGACATAGCCATTACGCTAACTGCTGGTTCCCAGGGATCTAGCCTCTTAAACCACCATACTACCTGGCTGGCCCAGCATTATTTATTTTTTATATTTTAAGGTAAGAGAAATATTGATGACTAACACCAAATAATATGAACTTTTGCCCAGAAGAAACACATATCTATTTGAAAACATGTATTTGTGTGTATATGCAAAAACACACACGTGTAACACGCACACATATACACACACATATACACGGAAGCCATCACTATGGAACATTACTGCCACTAACCAGAAAAAAAAAAATAAATAAAAGATTTTGTCCAGTAGGTTATTGTAGCTAAGACTAAAATTCCAAATTTCAAAATTGTATTTATAACTTGCCTTTAATATACCAAAGCAAAGGAGAAAGTAGTACAAGATCACAAATCAAATACTTAGAAAATATACACCTTATAAGTCCTAGCACCTTTAGGTAGATATTAAAGGAATTCATTACAAAATTCAATTGTAGGAGTCAGCAGGTGGAGGGGTGGTTAAGGCACTGGGCTCCCACAAGGCCGTCCACGGTTCAAGTCCAGACCTGGTGGCTTAAAAATCATGCCAGGCACATGTGTGTGCAAGCCCAAGATCCCAGGAGGAGAATGGAGGAAAAGGGATTGAATCACAGCCATCAAGTCTCGGGGATGATTTCTCACTTTCCTTCTCTCTGTCTCCAGGAAGCACACTTGCCCTACAGCAAAAACCTTAAAAACAACAACAACAACAAAATCCGATTGTAATTTTCCAATAACCCGTCTCCACTTACCTGAGAGCAAAATGATATCTCCTTAAAATTCTTCTCCAATGCGATTTTTTTGGTGTCGGGACTGATGAGGTAAACTTCCGACTGGCCAATCTTAAAAGACAGACAAGAAAGAAACTCGCTTTTCATGAAAGTTGAATTGAGATTCGCTATATACCTACTTTATTTCATGGCCTATGAAAAGAAAGAATAAAAGGGGCATGGCCCTACCACGCTCTCATTATGTCACTGTAGAAAATCTCTTCGAAGGTTTGCATCACTTCCCTCCCTTCTTGCTTTCAGGGTATAATGACCTGGTCTCCCTCCTGCTGGCCACCACCATTTGCCAGGCTGTGCCGTGGCACCAGAAACAACCACCATGACCACACGGATGAAAACCCAGGTGCTTGTGAAGCCATTGTTCCCGGGGGGAAGGGCTGCACTTGACTCACTGTTTACCATTAATGTCAGGTGGCGATAAGCATTATGGAGAAAACTAAAGCAAAGAAGTAAGAGGAGATGGGGCAGGGGTGGGGGGAGCAGCAAGTGGCACAAAGGCGAAGGCAGCTAGATCCCACATGGCCAACTGAGCACGTCAAGTCCCAGACCTGATGGCTTGAGAACTGTGCCAGGCACGTGTGCATGCCTGCTCCAGACCCCAAGAGGACAATGAAGGAGAAGCCACTGCCATGTGGCCATGCCTCCCACATAATTTTCCCATCTCTCCCTGGAGAGCCCATGCACCCTTTAGAAACTAAAAAAAAGGTGGTGGGTCAGATGCTGCCGCTACTGGTCTCACAACAACATGGTTTCTCCATGTCAGTTAATATTTCAGTGGAGACCTGAGGACGTGAGGAGGCAGAGCCCTTGACAGCTGGGGTAGCCTGCCAAGCAAAGGGAACAGCGGTGCGAAGACTACCAGCTTCTTCCAGCTACTGAGCTCCCTCCATCCCTTCGGGTCTTCCCATCTGCTGTTCTCTGAACCCAGGAGACCCTCCAGCTAGCCATAGAGAAACCTCTCCTCAGTAAAAATCACCTCCTCAGGGAAGCCTTTCCTGATTCCCCAGGCAGGCTCACAGCGGCCTCTACTTCTCTCTGGAGGCATCTGTTACGGGTGAAGTTAGATCACTGCTCGTGCAGGTGGTTAGGCATCTCCCTGACCGGGTCTACACTCCACAAGGCCAGACCAGGTCTGTCTTGCTCACGCCTGTGTTCCTAGCATGCTCCAAAGGTCCTTGGACACAGCGGTCCCACAGCAAGGACCTGTGAGTCAGGGCACCGAGCAGCGTTCTAACGAGACTGAGAGGTTTCATTTTGTTTGGGAATACACAGCACAGATTAAATCACAAATGGAACAGCCAAGGGGGACCCTTGATATACTGGGGTCGACGCTGATGAGAAAAGAAAGAAAGCGACCGTGTGTAGCTCCTGGCTCACCATCCTGCTTTCTAACCTGCAGACACCCTCCTGGTATTAACCTAAGAGCCAGCTTCTTCACCCTGGCCAGCTCCCTGCCGTGAGTGAGACACAAAGGGACACGGGATGTCAGGAGTTTGGTTCTCTGTTGACAGTCAGGTGGCATGAAGCCAAAAGGGAAGCAGAGAGGTGGCCAGGGAAAAACCAGGTCCCCCCCAACATCAGCAAGGGCAAGCCCAGCAGGAAGAGCCCTGTCAGTATGGAGCCCAGAAAAACCCCAACTACCAGGAACAGCTCTCCCGACTCAGCAGTTAGCGCGCTTTAAGGTTAACCAAAATTTTCTAGAAAATGGCAAGCCATTAGTGAAATGACTACTCCAGCTTGGGTGTACACTTCACATGTCACCCACCAATCTACTTAGCCTGGTTAACCGAAGAGCAGCGTTTTATACAGGAATAAAAACAGCCAAGAGAACGTTCCAACTAAAAGCTTTTGCTGAACTGTGTCCCTTGAAATGAATATTCACGAGGTCTCCCTCTTGGCTCCTTTCACACATTCTATTCTTTCCGCAATGGACAGGTGTCTTTACCACCATGGGCGACAAGAGGGAAATAAATATTCCAAAGATACAAGGTGGACTCGCTTCCCATTTACCCTGATCGCTTGAAAGGCTGTCGCTAGAGTAACGGTCTGATCTTACACGAAGAACCATTCCGTATAAACATGGGGGTGCACCCTGAAATGCAGAAGCCGCAGGCTGGGAACCGAGCAGGCTGGGAACCGAGCGCTGGCTCCCGACCTGGGCCCCAGGCTGGGTGGCGTGTTACCGTGAAGAGCATCGTTCGATTTTCCTCCATGTCTGTGGGCTGCACCACGTCGTGGCCGCCGATCAGGTGGCTCTCGATGTCGTTCTCCTCGAAGGAGCTGAAGAAGCGCGCACCGCGGAGGCCGCTGTCCTGGAACTCCTTGCGGAAGGCCAGCGAGCGCAGGCCGGGCTGCGAGAAGGATTTGCGCATGGGCCGTGCGCCTGGCTCCGGGGCTATCCGGGGCCGCCGAGCCGGCAGGGTCGGGGTCCCCTGGGGCCCCGCAGCGTCTGCCCCCTGCGTGGGCGAGTCCCAGTCTGCCCTGCTGCGGCTGCTGACGTGGTTGAACTTCTCGATGCACTCGTCAATCAAGGCCGGTGGGGCCTTCTTGTGAGCCACGGTCACCCGGCCGCAGAAGAGCACCTCAAACTTCTTGGCGAACGTGTCGTCGAACTCGGACGGGCAGTGCAGCTCCTCCTGGCGGGCGATCTTCCCTGCCTGGCGGATGGAGCTGATGATCTCAGGCACCTGCAGGAGACAGGAGGTGTGTTACTGGGTGTGTGGCAACCCCCCGCTGCACGCCCAGGAGGTGCAGTGCCATGGTCCCCCAAGACAGAGCACCCCATGCCATGGAACTGGGAGGTAACGCCCAACCTCCACAAAGAGGAGTCAGGGGACGGTAGTTAAGAAGCATTTCCCACCAGCCAGGGGGTCCACTGCTGGAGAGCTGAGCGCCACCACGTCCTACAAGGTTAAGCAACCAGTCGGAGGATGCACAGCTCCACCAAGCAGTCATGGATTCCAGCCCGGGACCGGCCGAGTCCACAGCCAGCTGTCCGGCTGCAGAAGCCATCGCCTCCTCAGGAGGTTTGTCTCTACCATGCTCACCAGAACATCACTCAGCCATTTCAGATTTCATGGGGTTTTTTTGAGAGGTTTTTGCTATAGGGCGCGTACGCTAGCCAGAAAGCCCGAGAGACGGGGTAGGGACCGGGGAAGGTTCAATCATGATCCTTCACAGTAGCCAAGAGGGGTGTGCTGAGAGCCTGGACCAACCACCAAGCAGTGAAGACTGGGCAAAGGACTTATGGAAGATTCGGGAAGACAGAACCCACAGGACACGAGGGTGACCTGGAGAGGGACTGCCCAGGTTCTGCCTTGGGCGTCTGTGGGAGTTGTGCCGCCAGCTCGTAGGGAATACAGAAGGACGAGCAGGTCTGGGGAGTGCATACCAAGCACTCTGCTCCTGGGCCCGTGCAGAAGACTGGAGGACTTGGAATAAGGGACCCAGTGGGCAGCTGGGCAGGGGCCTTGGGATCCAAGACAGGAGGGCTAGACAGGGACACCTGAGGTGTAGATATAGGAAGTGGCTGAAGTCCTGGGCACAGAAAACAGGGAAGTAATTCAAGGGATAAAAGATGGTACCCTGGGGACCATCAGTTAGCATAATGGCTGTGTTGCTGGACTCCCACGTAGCCGACCGTGGTTCGAGTCCCGGACCCAGTGGCTTAAAACTCACGTCGGGTGCGTGTGTGTGCATGCCCAAGATCCCCAGAGGAGAATGGAGGAGAAGGGATTGTGGTGTGGCCATCCCCCCTGGGGGGTGATTTCTTGCTTTCTGTCTCTCTGTCTCTCTCTGTCTGGCGAGTGCACACACCCCATAGCAAAAACCTCTCCAAAAAAAAAAAAAAAAAGATGGTACCCTGGGACACCCATGGGTGTCCCCGCATTTCAGGCATGGAGAAGAATCGCAAGCAGAGAAGCAGAAGGAAGCAAGGCAAGAACAAGGCCAGAGACCCCAAGAAAAAGGGGGCACTCCATCTTCAAGGAGGAAAATTAGCAACTGAGAACAGGTTAAGGGTCCAGACAGACTGGATGGAGTTCACAGCCCATGAAGACCCGTAAAACATAAGCCACAGGAAACGTCAATACTAGATGCTCCAAAAGAAGCAAAGAGAACAGAAAAAAAGACTTACAGCCAAACTTTATCAGTAAGAACATATATTTCAAATTACAATATTTACTGCAGAGACACAGGTCCCTTTAGGGCAATAGTATACTGACGTCAAAGGGATTTATTCCCACCGATATGATCTGGGTCCTTGTGATGAGAATCTTTTTTTTAGTGTGGTCACAGCGAGAGTATTTACGTCCCTGCTGCTCACAGATGGGCAGATAAAGTAAATAAAAACTACGGCAAAAATAAGAATGTAAAAAGCATTTTCTGGGGATAAATTCAATAAGGGCATGGGTGATTTTTTTTTTCATTCTTTTACACTGGCAATCACAATAAATATGTTAGATAGAGTTAAAAATCAAGCAGCAACGATTAATGAGGAAACAGGCCTCGTGTAGAAAAAATTGACTTAAACTGCTGTCAACCACTGAGTTGATGCTAAAACTCCAATTTGAAAGTAAATCTACACTCTGTTTACTACGCAAAGGATTTTCTTTCGAATTCACAGAGTTACAAACGCAGTCAGGTATGAAGTTTCTGGAACAGGCTTAACTGCTTTATAAGGGGCAGGAAAATGACACTCCAACAGAATGAGAAATATTCACTTCTGGAAATAAAGTCCTTATTGAAACATTTCGGCCAACTTTCTTTTTAAGGATTTGAGGATTTCGAGGGATTATAAACACACTGCAAGTGTAATTTTATTCAAAAGGATTTAAGAAAGAGCTCCTGGAATAATATTGAAAATGAAAAGTCATTTACTTTACATCTACAGTTTTGCCTTTCTGCCAACGACTAACAAGTACATATCAAATGAGTCTACAGAAGCCTGGTATTTGTAGTTAAAACTCTAGCAAATGTTCCTGCTATGGAGTATGAAAGCCATTCAAAATCTGCAAAAATATGTCAGGACACGGTGCTTTGTCCCTCGGGGGAATTGTTTTGTCACTGCTAGGAGTTAAAACGAGCACCTGAAACAGTATCATTTATTCAGCGTAATTATTTTTCAGAAAGAACAGACTTCCGTTTTGCTGTTTTTGATACTAACTAATTATTTGTATTTCTTAGTCATGAAGTAAGGTTGAAAAGGCGGGAAGTGGGGGCAACACAATTAAACTAAGTATTTCCTGACTATCTTTTTTTTTTTTAATTTTTTTACTTAGCTTTATTTATTTATTTATTTAATTTGATCAGAGAGAGAGACAGAACGAGAGAGTCTGGGACTTGAACCATGGTCAGCCATGTGGGACTCCAGCATCCCTAACCACCATGCCACCTGCCAGCCCCTTTCCTGATTATCTTACATGCCATGAATTTCATAGAAAACTCTTTTTTCTTTCAATGTTTATTTATTTATTTAATTCTATTTGTCATTATTTTTTCATTTGACCAGACAGAGACAGAGAGAGAAAGAGAGGAAGAGAAAGTGAGAAAGGAAGCCACCAGGTCCAGGACTCAAACTGTGGTTGGCCAAATGGGAATCCAACACCTTTATCCACCACACCACCTGCTAGCACCCATTTTTTTTTTTTTTTGAGAGGTTTTTGCTATAGGGTGCATGCACTCGCCAGAAAGACAGAGAGAGACAGAGAGACAGAAAGCGAGAAATCACCCCCAGAGGGCATGGATGTGTGTGTGTCTCTCTCTCCCTGGCAGTACACACACGCTATAACAAAAGCCTAAAACACAGAAGTCCTTCCAGAGGCACGGCCTAAGAAGGATTCATGTTTGAATGGCCTGTCTGCACGGAGTTCCCGTGCCCTCTGCTCCCTGCTATGTGAAATGAGGAAGGGTCGTGATCACAATCAACACAGAGACTAGAAATCAGGACCAGGAAACACAGTAAGCAGCCATGCATCGACCCAGGGCCTCGCTCATGGGTCTAGATGTGCCCTCGGGTGGTTCTCCTTCTCTCGAGGCAGTTTACTTCCTCTTGCACCAGGGCCCGGGTCCGCAGTCCAACTGGTGTGGGTCCCTGTGACAAGCCACTGGGATAGCAGATGGCCGTGCTCCTCTGCTTGCAGAATCCAGCTCCATGAAGACAGCACAGGAACTTCCTGGGTCTAGGCCAGGTCTCCCAGGGCAGGACTTCATTTCATAGGGAAAAGATAAGGCATTCTTCCCTCAGGGGGACTGAGGATGAAAAGCAAAGCTCCCTGTGCGGAGGTTCAGGACCCAAGCAACAAGACACAGAGACACAGAGACGTCCGCTGGGAGTCTGCACTGGTCTCAGGTGACCGAACACAGGCTGCGGGTCACACGCATGCCCAGACGTGAACTCCAGGGAAGGAAAACATCGCGCACAGTCGCCACCTAAACCACTAATGGTCTAGTCTTTCTTTTTCTCTTTCTTTTTAAAGAGATTTTTCATATAGGGCACATGCACTTGCCGGAGAGACAGAGAGAGAGAGAGACAGAAATGAGAAATCATCCCCCATGGGGGATGGCCATACCACAACCCCTGCTCCTCTATTCTCCTCTCAGGATCTTGGACATGTGCCCAACGTGAGTTTTAAGTCACCAGATCTGGGACTCAAACAGCAGTCCAGCGATATAACCATTTGTCATCTGCTAGTCCCCGTCTAATCTTTTTAACCAAATCTTTATTTATTTATTTATTTTTGGGGGTAGAGATTTCTGCTATAGTGGTGCGTGCACTCACCAGAAACAGAGAGACAGAGATAGAAAGCGAGAAATCACCCCCCAGGGAGAATGGTCACGCCGCAGTCCCTTCTCCTCCATTCTCCTCTCGGGATCTTGGGCACGCACGCACACGTACTCGGCGTGAGTTTAAGCCACCGGGTCAGGGACTCAAACCATGGTCAACTACGTGGGAGTCCAGCGACATAGCCACTATGCCAACTGCTGGTCCCCCAAATCCTCATTTTGAGAGGAAAATACAACAGGCCTTTTTTTTTCTTCTTTTCTTTTCTTTTCTCTTCTTTTCTTTCTTTCTTCCTTTCTTTTTTTTTTTTTTTAAAATCTCTGGAATGCTTCCCTCTTATCTCCACTCTTCCCCACCAGGGTCCTAATCAGCTCCAGCAGGTTCTCTGAGCCGAAGGACTGACAGTCCCAGGTTCATCTGAAAGATCTGTCTTACGACCAAGCAGTGGCCGCTGGGTCACTACTCAGCAGAAAGGGCAGAGATAAAGAAACACCTTCCCTCTCCTTCTCCTCCTGGGCCCCAGGAAGTTGGGGCCTTACCCAAGGCTTCTAGGAGAAGCCCAGACTCTGAATGCTAAGGCAGCTGGCTGCTCAGGAACCCTTGAAGGGCCGACCTCAAGAACCAAGAAAAGACATATCCTGATCTTCTACCATTTCCGATCACCCATTCTCCTTTTTAAACACAGCAGCAAAATGTCATACAAGTTGGTTGGTTTGTGTTTTACAGCCCGTTCAGGGTCCATCATGAGCTCCACACAATTATAAGCCATTTCTGGTAGAAGTGCGGTGAACATCCAACCTTTGCATAAACGCCCAGGCTCCCAGCTGCATTTCAGGGTAAGGACAGTGTCTGTGTGCACACTGGGCCGGGGAAAGGTGGGCAGGAAAGATTAGAGAGTGAGCCCAG